GAGTGTTAAGGTGTGGACGCGCTCGTCCACTTCCATGACAGTGCTCTTTACTTTCCCCCGCATGGCTGGGGTCATCAAGGCGGCAGAGCGAGCGTGTGGTGCGGCTCGCTTGAGGAGTCCCTCGCCCATCATAGAGCGGAGGGGGTGAGTGTCTGAGAGGGTAGCGATGCGATACACTGCGCGCGTCGCCAACTTCTTCAGCATGAGATGGACGGGGATGAGGCCAGCGAGGGCCTCAAGACCGCCTGTGGGTGAGGTGCGGAAAGCACCCGTGATCCATAGAGCAGCTTTTCGCTGCATCCGTTTTAGCTGGTTCATCGCGCCCTTATTGCGGGCGCCATCAAAATACCAGAGGCGATAACCGTATGTGGCAATAGGGACCACACACGATCGATATAAGAGGCGGCGCTGTTTAGGCGATAGACCTCTAGTAGAGTTCCCGAGCATGCGCATGGCTTGCACAGTGGTAAACGCCTTGGTGGCGTAGTAGCGAACGTGCTCATGGAACGTGAGCCCGCGGTCAAAGTAGAAGCCCAAGTACCTCCAATAGGTCTTAGGTTTCAAAGGTGTGGCGCCGGTATGAGGGGCGTACCCCAAATCCAGCGAGGGATTGTAGGCGTCTCGGCGACGCGAAAAGTGAAACAGCTCGGTCTTGTCGTGTTCAAGAACGAGCATGAAAGGCAACAAAGAGAAGGTAGATAATTTTGTAGGCCTTACGCAGGCCCACATTATTATCATCAAGTTGTTTCGATTGGGCCAGAATGGTCCCATCATCCACAAAAGACAGCAGCGTCATGTTGAGTGGCGCCGCTTTGATGTAAAGAAGAGCTTCATCACCGGAGCAATGAACAGCCCAGAGATAACAGGCGAGAGAGCAGAGCCCTGCCCGACACCCACGTCCGCAGACCGTGAGTCGGATTGGAAGGTGTTCCAACAGTAAACCGTGGATCGACCAACGAGATAAGAGGCAAAGAACTCCACCAGAACCGGCGAAAACCCTTGCTTACGAAGAACAGCCATGAACATCTCATGGTTAATAGAAGGGAAGAACTGCGCGATGTCAAAAGCCAGCGCGCTAGTCTGGAGACCCTTAACCCACCCCGCTCGCACGAGATGGGTCAGAATCAATCCAGCATCCTCAGTTGACCTCTGGCGGATACCGCCAAGTTGGTTGGGATGGAAGATATCATGCTTGACGGCGTCAAACTGTATCCTATTGGCAATCATCTTTTCGATAAGTTTACCGAAAGTGATGAGGAGTACGATTGGCCTAAAGGCCTTCGGCACGGAGTAGGAGGGCTTGTTCGGCTTCGGGACGATAACCGATAGCGACTCCTTGAATATACGTGGCCAATGACCCACCCGAAGGCAAGCATTGGCCAACACGATGAAGAGCGCAAGGACGTGTTTATCCTTGAGCAGCTCCTTTAGGTGGACCCATGTGACGTGGTCCGGGCCTGGTGCAGAGGAATTAGAGCACCCCTTAAGGGCACTCAACAACTCATGCTCCGAAAAGTCAGCCCACTCACGGACTGGCTCATCAGGAAGCTCGTCTAATACTGAGGCGTCGTACTCGCGACCAGAGGCCGAGTTGTACGTGCCGTGTAGGGCGTCCCAAAGGTCGCCCATATCGTGGCAGGGCTGGTCGTCATTGCGAATAGCCTCACAGGGTGGTAGCTTGCGCTGTTTGACCCATTCCATTAGGTCCCATGGGCGCTTGCGAGAGGTAGCGATTTCTGCGATGCGTTCATCGAAGAAATCACGCTTGGCGTCCTTACACGCCTTTTTAAACTTGTTATAATCAGCGAGCGAGCGGCTCAACTGATATATTCCGAAAGTCTCCGAGCACTCGTCCGTCCACCAGGACTTGGAGCGCTTGGTAGGTTTGGACTCGGTCGAGTGGGCAGACCACGCGTCCGAGAATGCTGTCGCAATAGCATCAGCTAAAGCTTCAACACCTTCCTTGGTTGCTGGGGCTGCAACAGGAATAGCCGCAAGATCCCGTAAAATTCAGCCTGCTCCCTCCTCTGCCTCCTTCACACCTGGTCTGCCCCAACAGCCGCCGCCCGATGCGTTCGTTCGCGGCTAGGCCCGGCTCGCGGCGTTTCCTCCTCTTCCACCCTCACTCTCTTCAACCTTCCCTCTGGCTCAAAGTCCCCTTCGTCGTCATCGTCCCGCTTCCTCTTGCCGTCGTTGTTCTTCTCGAGCCGTCGCGCATCCACTTCGTAGCCGGCAGCACGCACGTAATCTTGGCGCGCATGCAAGCCGGGCATAGACACCAGGTGGCGCGCACTTCTTCCCCTTGCTGTTCTCGACGGCTGTACGCCACTTCTCCACAGCACCCGGATTCCATTGGCAACAAATGCCAGCTGCGATGCAGTGGGCACATGGCTCCTGCATCACAGGCCAGCTCGCCTCTGCCTTTGCGATCCCCTCGTCCCGGATCCGGTTCCTCTCGTCTTGCGACTTCACCTTGCATGCCGTCTTCGTCTTCCCCTTCGTGGCCGCAGCCGTCTCCGGCTCCTCGTCATCCTTTTCGTCTTCGTCTTCATCTTCTTCTTCTTGCCCCTTCTCCTTCTCCTTGCCCCTTCTTCCTTCTCCCTCACTCCCACTCTCGCCCTCTGAACTACTTTCATCTACGACAGCCGTTAGCCACTGCCGACACCCGAAAACCAACTACTCACTGGATGACTCGATGACCCTGCCCTTGCCTTTGCGCTTGGTTCATTCTACAACCACTTCTTCGTCCTCCTTGTCCGTGCTTGGGTAGGCCGTAGGCCTAGCCGCCTGCTGTGCTGCTTCGGCTGCTCGCTCCTCTTCGGCCTTTTGTTCTTCTTTGGCCCTTTTCCTCCTCTCCTCCTCAGCCCTCTTCTCCTCGGCCCTTTTCCTGGCCGCCGCTTTACGCCTCTCAGCCGCCTCCTGTTCTTGCAGCCGTTGTTGAGCCGCCGCTTCCTCTCGCAGCCGCTCCTCTTCCGCCGCTTGCTCCACTGCCGCAAGCGCCTGGGCCATCTCCTCCTCCTCAGCCTTCTCCCTCTCCTCCTCCAACCGTCTCTGCCTCGCTTTCTCCGCCCTCTCCCGCATCTTCTCCTCTGCCAACTTCCTTTGTTGTTCGAGTAGGCGCTGGGTTTCGGATGTTTTGGTGGGGCTGGACATTGTGGAGTTCAGGTTTTGGGGGGGCCAGGTGGTAGAGCGGAAGAGAAATTTTTCCGGATGCAAACAACCCTAAACGGCCAAGTTCAACATGGCGTATACAATACCAAACATCAGCCACAGTAAAAGGCCTCGGGGGCTCGGCCTTAAGGGGGAGGTACTGTCACGACCCGTTCCGTGCCAAAGACATCCGAGAGACATCCGTTCATAGCCGTTTCGGTTCTTCAATTATATTGTTCTTTTGTTTGTTATTTGTCTTTGATTTTCCTAGTGTACACGTGCCTCATTATTCTATTGTCATTAGCGTACACGTTCCCTCCACAAGTTAGACAGCCGACGGCTCATTGTCATAGGTAGTCCATTATTCGTTGTAGTATTTAAGGGACTGCAGGACGACCAAGTCCAGCAGTCTGAATATCATACTTGACTTCTAATCTCCTCCTCTCATTCTCATCCGTTCTCATCCGCTTGCATCCGTTTGACATCCGACACTGGCCTAAAAGCCTATACTCTGAAATCGGACTTAGACTATCTCGAGGGCGCAACACACAAATGTTGAAGCCAAAGTCCACATCTGAAATCTCTTCCGAAGCACATCCAAACGCACCTGGTCTCTGGCACACCTCGGCTCAGCACAGGTCGTAACAAGGAGTCATAATGTTCAGTTACATTGGTCCCAAAATATCAGTATCGTGCACACACTATGGGCATTTGCGCATATAAGCGGTGTCAAAATTGCAATCTTAAATTAGAAATAACATTATCCCCAAAAGCGGTCGCTAAATTTCAAATTTCTTTGAGCTCACAGTATGCAAGAAAATCTGCCTTTTAGACACCACAATTATTTCAAATTCTATCCTCATGTTCTTGTCAAGGAGATGGTGAAGAGTCCAAGTACCCAGAGATAGGAAAAGCTCCTTTTACGGTGGTCACAGGTCCTCAAGACCATTGTTTCAGGGTGCAACAACCAAAAATTGGGTAGAATTGACCAATCAAATTGCTGGATCGAGCTCTGTCTTTTGGTGAAAAACCTTACTGGGGAAAATTAATGACATCTGCCTGTCAACTTTTGAAATAAAATCCACAAGTGGCGCCAAGGTGACATTTGAAATAAAAGCGCTGCAGAAAATATAGTCGATATCACAGATCTTATTTTGAATCCCATCGAGATTTTCTTGGCGAAGTGACTGGGACTAAATTTCAAATAGAATCAGCGTAAAATCAAAATATCACTGTTGATTATATGCGCAAATGCCCACAGTGACAGAATTGTGTGCACAATTGACTAAATAGTGCTGATTTCTAAAAATAGCTGAAAATGTGCACTCAAATCTCTACCCCTGGCAAGGACCAGAGCACTGGAACACCTTGGCAGCATTATGTAGGATACAGAAGGTCTTTAGCAAATGTAGAGTTCATAAATGCACATTGATTATTCATGGCTGCATATTTAAATTACTGGTTTGCACCAAAAAACCCAAAAATGCGCATATTGCAATATCTTGGCACTCAGACTATTGACAGACCTGAAAGTTGGTACAGATGTATATCTAATATGGTTGATAATAGCCTCAAATTTATAGACCTGTAGCATCAGTAGGTGTTGAGATATAGAGGTGCAGGTTTTTTGCATTAAAACAATGTGCATATTGCAATATCTTGGCATCCAGACAACCAACAGAGCTGAAATTAGTACACTAGTAGCTATAATATGGTTGATAATAGCCTCAAAATTATAGACTGGTAGTATCAGTAGGTGTTGAGATATAGAGGTGTGGGTTTTTAGCATTTAAAATAATGCGCATATTGCAATATCTTGGCATCAAGACCATCAACAGACCTGAAAATTTGTACACAAGTAGATATAATATAGGTGATGTTGGCCTCAAAATTATAGACCTGTAGCATGAGTAGGTGTTGAGATATGGAGGTGCAGGTTTTCTGCATTTAAAACATGTAATATCTCATGCCACAGCACCCCTGAAGATCTGAAACTGCTTATGTAAGCTTCCCTGAACATCGCCTCATGGTGGATAAAATTTTCAGAGCTGTAGCTGCAGCTGTTGCAGAGATATAGAGAGACTCTTTCTGTAGTAGAAGGACATGTGACTTGCTAGGTCATGTGAGCAGAGTTTGACAGCTATGATGCACAAAAACTCCTGGAGAGTTTTTGTGCGTCATATGTTTGGCTAAACAAACAAAGCCACCACAGCCACTCCACCTCATCTTGCAAATTCCATATCTCTGTCAATTCTTATTCAATTCTCATGATATAACTTGTGTAATTAATGTAAAATACAGGAGAAAAATACAGTACCCATAAATATAATGTAGAGTATGGGAATACTATTTCATTTGTAGATGGTAAGGTAAATGATCAGGTGACTTGTGCTGGCCATAATCGTGTGCTACATCATCGCTTTCTTTCTTCTGCTGCTACTATCACCATTCCTCCTCTCCCTCTTCTACTATAGATATCTACACCATGCACCTGTGCCTTCTAATGAGGGACAGGGCACATTTTGAAGGGCTGAATGGAGGAGGAGGAAAACAAAGGGAGACCTGAGTAGCTGGAGACCCGAGTAGCCGGAGACCGAACGCCCAACACAGTGAGTGAGTGACTACCTCTTCTTCCACTCTTCCTTACTCACCTGCTAGTTCTCTGTTGCATCACACAAGTTGATAATAGGCCCCATGGCTTGATGCTGGCCTGCTGATTCAACATCGGCTGCAGTAACTGGAGGCTGCTCCCTCATGGCTCAATGTCAGTCCCCCACAACTCAATGTCAGCTCCAACAACTTAATGACTGCCTCCACAGATCAATGTCAGGTCCAACATCTCCATGACCATGCTATCCAATGAGGGTTATGGAAGAGCTGGATAGAGAAAAGGACCACCAGGGAGACCCGAGCAGTGGGAGACCCAGCATAGTGTGTCACTGTCCCTAATCCCTCCTTCCATTACTTACTCCACCCCACCAGTTCATCATCATGTTGTGCAACTTGATGACAGCCTCCACAAGTCAACAACAACCACCTCTGTGACTCAACAACAGTGTTCTCTCATTCATACTCATGACTTGGCCTTTGCTTCCTGGAACATGTATTTCACATAATTATTCTCAATATATATCTATTCTATTTCATGATGTTCTGAAAGTGAACTTTTTTAGAGGATGAGAGCTTCGGCGTCGTTCGCTGTCATCAGGGCTCTTTGGAGGCCATTTGGATGGGCAAGGGGCATCAGAGGAGCAAGAAGGGGGGTGGTGGTGGCAGAAGGTGAGAGGGAGGGGGGAAGGGTGAGAAGGGGCAGGTGGGGCGCAGAATGACTGTAAACACCACTGAACCTCTGTGTTCGGTGTCATTTGTTGTCATCAGGGCTCTTCAGGGGCCGTTTGGATGGGTGAGGGGCACCAGAGGGACAAGAAGAGGGGGTGGTGGTGGCAGAAGGCAAGAGGTGGGCAGTGCTGGATGGGCAGGTGAGCAGGGCACAGAACGAGCACAAACGACACTGAACCTCTGTGTTTGGCATTGTTCAGCGTCCTTGAGGGCCGTTTGGATGGGTGACAGGTGTCAGAGGGCAAGAGGAGGGGGTGGTGGTGGTGGAAGGTAACAGGCGGGCAGTGCTAGATGGGCAGGCAGGCAGGACACAGAATGAGCATGAATGACACCCAACCTCTGTGTTCGGCATCATTGCATGCGGCTTGTCTTTGAGGGC